CATCTATTATTGCCTTGTTTATCTAAAAGTGCTCTTTTCCTTTAATATGTGTTGACTGTGAAACACAGTAGACTTTAATAATATGCATTTATGGTGTAATTACTACATTTTCGTGTCAATCCATGTTCATATTTACTGCAAACAATGCGCGGTCACTTTAATTCAGCGCTTGCAGCACAGCAATAGACTCGGTGCAGAAACGATCTCTGCTCTGCTGCAGACGCACAGCTCCCGAACGCACTGCCGGGCCGCAGCAGTGTGCAGTGAACGCTTTAATCCGTTAACATGAGCGCGGAAAAAATATGCACCACGTATGCACTGCAAACAAGAGTAATGTGAACTTGTCATTATGTGTGTGCATGAGCTCACGGTCTCCAGGAGAGCGCGTGAGCGCTGAATGATTAAAAGCTGGCAAAAATTAAAAAGTAATACAATTTATAAGCGCTGAATGGTTAAGCACTGGCAAGAATTAAAAGTAATGCAATTTATAAACTTTAGTGACGATGTGACACTGCCTCGATTGTGCAAGTGACAATTCCTGTGTCAACTGTGCAGCTCGCTTATAGACAGACACGATGTGTGGTGATTTGAAGACATTTGCGTATTTTGCGAGAGAAAGAGAGAGCGCGCGCGTGCGAGTGGTGTCTCACTCACGCTGTTTGTGAAATTACGTCTCAAACGAGGTTTTCAAATGACTTTATAAGTTATTTAATGAAGAAATATGAAGGTGAATACATTATAATTATTTGACCCACGCCGGACAGAGACGGAGACGGTGCCGCTGCATGTCGTGCCAAACCTTCTCACGGCAGCGTCATCAGCTTGAGATCGGTTTTTTGAGATCGGCCTTTTTAGAGACCGCCGATCAATCATCCCAATGTGATTATCGGCCGATAGTGATCGGTAGCCGATCAATCAGTGCACCCCTACTAAATACGAGATTAGTTTAGAGCTGTGATTAACCATCTCTTCAGCACGATAAACAGTAGAAGGAATCTCTCAAAGCACACCATATGAAACCAAGAATTTCTGTGTTTTATGCAAAGTATAAAATCAGACTAAATTTATAGTTCTCACCATTACAATGTTCGGTCCTGATCACGCAGTTGATAAGCGTCTGGATGTATATTATCCCTTACTTGATTTCACTGAAAGTTCTCTGGGCAGAGCACAGATCCAAGTAATAATAATGACAATCATTTTTGATTATGTTTATCATTGATTTTATAAAGTTTTATTGACATTTAGATTTTTATTGATAAGTAGTTTTCACCCGGTGATTACACGTTTAGTGGTTCATCGGATCACAAATCTCACGGTTCGGAGCACATTGCAGTTTTTGACCCACAGATCGGACCGCTTTTCAGATCAACAAGAACAGAAAAATATTTCAATGTAACTTGCTTTCCATTTAATACTTAAATCTAAGTACTTCTTCGATACCACAGCAAAAATTACTAGACTAAGAAAGTTCAAACATGATTAAACAGACAAGTGAAGACCAAGTGTGTGTGAACACAGGTGCTCAACAAACACACATCTTGAAATCTCTCTTCGTCCAGTGTCTGCGGCATTTCTCTCCAAAGTTATGACCGATTAAGCAGTTCTTTGTGCTCTTTTAAAACAGTCGCGAGTATCACTAACACTTCTCACACAATGTAAGTGCTATCGAGCACACTGAAGTTAAAGAGCAACACTAGAAACGAGGCAGCCCATCGTGACAGGCAGACCACTGGCTTTGGGTGCAAGAAAGACGCAATGCCATGCATGCATGAATCTGAGCGCAGAAGTGCGCTGTAGTCATTAAAACTACAATCCAAGCTAATGTCCCCTACGCATCCTGACCCTGGACATAAACTCTGAACATGGTCAATGTAAGGAGGGGAGTTACCTGAACATCTCAGTCAGTTCTCCTTTAAACAGGGCCAGCAGCACTGGAAATCCAACACAAGCAGGGACCAGGTACAGCAAAGCAGGCTGGGAAACAAAACACAGCCTCATTCATATGGAAGCATATGGGTAGCAAAATTCATTTTGAAATGTAAATTTAAAATACAGAAATACATGGTCATTTTGCATATTACATTTTCCCATACATATGTGCAACATTTAGTGCAAAATGAAAATTACATTTCAATTATATAATTGACATTTGCCATTTCCTACACTTGTGTTATTATGTAAATTAAACATATTTTAATGCTTTATAAGTTGCAAAATTAAAATGAAATTGTATTACTCAAATTGATTAGATATGTTTAACATGTCCAAGCAAAAACTGTAGCAAAATCATCATTTAAATGCCATTTTTCCTAAACGCATTTAGACTTACGGGTAGGACACTTGAGATTGCATTTTCATCGTGATACCGCGTGATAATTGTAGCAAAATGCAGTGTGAATTTCCAAATGCATTCTGAGCCAAATGTGCAGCAAAATGGTGATTTAAATGTCTTTTATTTTTCTTAAATGCATTGACACTTACATATAAGACGTTTCAAATGCATTTTCATTAAATACCCCGCGATAACGTAGTTTAAGTCAACGTGGGGACACTTGAGATTGAATTTTCATCGTAATACTGCGTGATAATTGTAGCAAAATGCAGTGAGAATTTCAGAATGCATTCTGAGCCAAAGGTGCAGCAAAAGGGTAGCAAAATGGTGATTTAAATGTCTTATTTTTCTTAAATGCATTGACACTTACATATAAGACGTTTCAAATGCATTTTCATTAAATACCCCGCGATAACGTAGTTTAAGTCAACGTGGATTTGAAAATGCATTCCGAGCCGATCACGCCCCCAACCTGTCAATCATTATATCAAGGCACTCAGATTGATGCACATAGGTAAAAGTGTAGAATTGCACTGTCTGCTTATTTGCTACCATACTTTATTCTTCTCCTATAATAGATTGTGTGTCCCCGAGCACCTAAGCGTTGCAGGTGTGTCGCACATCTCACTCTGCACGTCGAGTGATGCATGTAAGCAAATTCTACACTTATTTACCACCTTACATAAAATTTAATTCCTCTCCTTTAATCCGTAACATGGCACGTGTTCTGTGGCACCTAAACGTCATGCGCCTGCCACAAGAGATCTCACGGTTTACAGCCACCGGACACCGCGATTGATGCCCGTGATTTTTAATATTAAGTTATCTCAGTTTGGCTGTGGTATGTCCTGTGACAGCGCGTCTAGATCTGACTGGTGAAGTGTCATCTGGGGCAGGCAGGAGTAGCAGCGTTTTCTGTATGGTCACGGGCATCAACCGGAGTGTAAACAGACTGAGGGATCTTAAGGCATGCGCGATGCTTAGGTGCCACGGGACATGCGCTCTATTATGGGTTAGAAGAGATGAAGGCAACACCGTGTCTACACCTGACGCGAGTGGCGCGACAAACGACAGTATTGAACCCATTATAATCAGCGATGCGGTCTACACTGGATGCAGCGTGATGCGACACGACAACTGTCGTGTCCGGTGTAGTCACGGTGTAAGGTGGCAAGTAAATAAGTGTAGAATTGCACTGTCTGCTTATGTGCATCAATCGGAGTGTAAAACAGTGAGA